GGTCTCTTGTTTCTATTGAGGGTGCTTACAGAGCCCAAGATTTAGAAAAACGAGCTGAATCAGCCCAATTTTTAGCAAATGTAACGAATTTTTAGATTCTGCTTCTCGTTTTTCAGTATGAGACAGAATGAGCCAAACTGTTCAAACAGGGGCTGAATGAGCCCAATTTTTAATAAAAGGGCTGAAAATTTTCAATAAAAGGGCTGAACGAGCCCAATTTTTTTTAAAGAGGACTGAACGAGCCCAATTTTTAGTAAAAGGGGCTGAATAGGCCCAATTTTTAGCCAATTAGACTCATTCAATTTCTTAATATTGGTTTAAATAGACCAAAGCAAACGGTAACCCTTATGATTGGTAGAACAGAGGTAGCAAAGAGGCCTTGTTACTCAAGTAGTCGGTTCGAGTCCCTCGAGGAACAATTGTTTTGTACAAAAGTAGCTGATTGAGCCCAATTTTTGGTCCTTGATTTACCATTAAAGGGGATGAATATGGGAAGATGATTATTAGAATTCTCCTAATTGAGCGTTTTTGGCTCCATTTTCCCGTATTTATCAGGAAACCAATTTTACTAAAAAAATTGAACCCCTCAAAAATGATACTTTAATGCAAAAACTTTTTATGCAAAAACTTCTTGCAAAAGACAGATTTTCCAAATCATTTAAGAAAATTGCAGGTCAAATATGCGAATCAAGCAGATTTCCCTTGGATGAAACCAGCTCGAATTTTCGTCTGTTTTTAAAGTCATGGTTAGTGGGAACAGGAGAGGATTCGAGAGCAAAAGGTAATTTTCTTAATACATTTATACATTCATGCTAAAATGATGTAAACAAATTTTACAGATAATTTTTTCCCGTTTTGGCATAAAAGTAGTTGCATAGTCCAATAGAAAACGAAAATGTTTGCTTTATGGTTATTGTATGATCAGCATTTTTTTGACGGCAACACCAAAAATTATATGCAGCAAAATCAAAATTGCCCTTTTTAAAATTATAATTTTTTTGAAGCACAAAACGATATTTGTAATCCAACTAAATTTTCAAAAAAATTTGCGAGCAAAGTTTAGTTTTCTGTGTGCATAACTTAGTCCTGGATACACAAAAGTTAGTATATTTTTAGTTTCTATGAATAGGTTTTTTGAGAAACGCTCATAAAATCTACTCATTTTGTATTGCATTTTTTGTATGCCATGGATAAAACATGATCATTTGAACAAAATATTAGCTTAAATAACTCACAAATTTGCTACTTTTATCATTTGTTTGCGTAAAACATCTGTACTCAGGTCTTTTCCAGTACATTGTTTATGCGAGACTGTTAAACCTTCGGTAACTCAAGCTTTGAGTAACCAGGGTCCTTGTCAGTTGTGTTTATTTTCAAAAACACAATCCAAAAACACATTCCAAAAAATTGAGAATAACTTAAAATTTTATAAAGTTCATTGCGAGGCCAATATTTGTACTGGATAGGCGCACAATTTTGTGTCTGTATGTTGCTGGATTCCAGAGACAAGTCTTCAAAGATGTTAAAATTTTGTCGGAACGATTAAAGGAATTGAAAGAAAAAAAAGAAAAGGGAACGTAGATGTTGAGGAATCTGCTTACAAATCACAAAATGCTCAGTTTTGCCTTTTAAGGTTGGCTTATTGAAAATGCTAGTGATAAAATTTCCATTCATTAATCAGAGGCCTTTCATGCAATTTTCTGTACTTATGGAATTGCAAGGAAAATTCATGATAAGCTTTTTTCATTATATGAAAACTGTATTAGCATTTTTGGTCAACCCGGATCGACACAAAAAAAATCAATACTAACAACTTTTATCAGTTTTGATTGATTTGTTGAGAGTTGATGGATTTAGCATCTTGCGAAAACCCATCCAAAACGATTTGATTTAGTTTCTGAGGCAATTACACAATTTTTTTTGTATATAATTAGACAAAACAGAAGACGCTGCAAATCAATCTAAATCAATTCATTCGAACAAATTAGCTTATACATTTGACTTTAATTTCATTTACTAAACGTTATCTATTAAATTTATTAAAATAAATTTGATTCCATCTTTGTCATTGCAAGGCTAATTTTGGCATCACCGTCTTCCTATAAAGTTCGTCGTTGAATTTTCTCATAAGGCCTGGTACTGTTTATTTATAAGCTTACCATAAGATTACTTCAGAAAGTTTGCATTTCAGATTTCGAATTAGGTACATGAAAGCATTTGACTTTAAAGTTTCAAAATTGATAAGCAAAATGATAATAATTGAACTTGCTATTGCGTAAGTTTAATCAAGAGATTTTTGAACCAAAATTTGCTAACAAAACTTGCTTAACAGTTCTCTACATTTTTTGTAGTTACTTGCACCAAACAAAGTTTTTACTTCAAAACTCGAAAGCAGTCCAAAATATGCGTCAAGTGGCTTCTGGTAAGACTACGTTTGAAATTGTAAAAAAATGACGCTTTTCTGAACCCGGTTTAAAATTTCAATTTTACTTATGTTCTGTGACTTTGTCGTTTTATTGTGAAAATAAAAACAGTTGAATCAAACAATGAGTCTTGTGTTTTTGTTTTGTTTTAGTTATATTCATATTCGTGTTTTCCAATATCGGAGCGGCATTCAAGGCTGACGTCAGCAGTTGGGTCAGTTTAACTTACCCCCTCTCAGAGAAAACACCCGTCTACCCAGGGGTGTACGATCCACTTCGAATCAATCCAGAAAAGTCCGCAGCGACAGACGAATGGCCGGGAATCCCCGCTGCAGACGGAACTTATGTTGCATTCCGTTTCATTGAAATGTATGAACATACTGGCACTCATGTGGATGCCCCCTCCCACTTCTGCAAAGGGTGCAAAGATGAAGCTGACTTGACTTGGGAGGAGCTGACCGGACCCCTGGTTATCATCAATGTCCGAGAAATTGTTAGAAATGTTTCTTATGACAGCTTTTTCTATTTTTAAAAGCTGGAAATATGTTTTTTTTTCACTACAGAAAACTATTTTTTATTAGTTTTTAGGAAAACTTTATAAGTTCAAAGGTAGCCGGTTGCTCTGAAAGTAACACAGAATGTTCCGATCACAGTATTTTAATGAAGAAAATTCAAAACTAAACGCAAATTTTTTTTAAAAATAGCAAAATATGATCCTTCCTTTAATAAAATGATAGCTTATCTAAAGTATTCTGAATATCGATGCAAACCTTAAGAGAACTTTTTCTTGTATCAGAATCACGAATAACGAAAAACAACGGACAAAATCTTCGAGACTGATCCGAAGAATACTACTTGTCGGGGAGCAGTGTATTTGAGACGAATTAGATTGGAAGTATATGCTAAAAGTCATCAATCTGAACTGTTAGCCGATACAATTTAAAGCGAGAAGCAGAGTCTGATAATCACAGAGGATAAACTATTTTTTGGCTTGGGATTAAACAACATGAGATAGTAGAGGGGAGCAGGCTTTGCTTCCATGCAAAAACTGAATTGTAAGCCACATTATTCCTCAAATATTGCTACTAATCATTGGTTCCCCGCATTGGTAAAACTAAGATTGCAACCGATTATCGCAAGTAAAATCTACAGTTAAGCAATCTAGTTTTATTTTATGCACTAAACAATGGATTTTTGTTCCGATTTTTGATACCTAAGTAACGGAATATTTGTGCTCGGGGTAGGTTTTTTTTCTTCAGACAAATTTCGACCTTTTATCTAGCAATTTTTGACGGATTTTTTTACATCATTCAAAAGGTATTATTGTCTTGAGCTTGAACTTAAAAAGATATTTCACCTGTGCTCATTTTTCGTAAAGTTATTGGGGTTTAAAGATTGCCATTTTGGCCAATTTGGGATAATTAACGCGCGATATATTTCGCGCTATTAACGCGTAAGCCGAGATTTAATCCGTGTTAGAAATCGTTCCAAAGTGGTTGAAAGAAGCTTTATTGCCATAACTGAATTGTTACAAGGAGCGGAATCTATTCTTTTGTACTTTATAAGGCGTGTGGGGGGATGATTTTCATAAAATTTTTCAAATTTTATTTTAAAAAATCATTTTTTTTTATTACATTTAAATTTTCAATGTTATTACTGCTCCAAAAACCTTAAAAGTCAGTAGGACCATTCAAGGCTTCGTCCTGATACGAGCAGTCTTGTTTGGCTATCCAATCATTTACAATCGATTGCAATTTATGCTTAATTTAATCGATTCGATAGTTACCAAATCCATTTTTAAGTGCAATTTTTTGTACAGATTATATATAAATGTTGAAAAAATAAATGTTTTGTTGAAAATAACCAAAGTTGATATAAACAACAAAAAACCGCCTAAACAAAACTAAAATGATAGTTTTTTCTGCTAAAAGCGAAGTTAAGGCGAATTTTTTTGCGACCGAATCTCGTTTATATCGATGATTATCTTGATTTGTAAGGTTTCGCTTGAATTCAATTTTTGTTTTGAGTTTTAAAACAGCATGCTACTAAGAGTAAAAAAATCCATTTTTTAGACAATATAAAAGATTTTTTGAGTCCTTGTTTTTTGATTAAAATCGATTTTATACAGATTCTATACAGATTTTGTACCGCTAAAAAAAAATTTCTAGGCTATAAAATCGACTTTTCTGAACTGTACAAAATCCTTATTTTATCCTTTTAGTGTCTGCTTGGGTCACATACAATCGATCTCTTACTGGTAGAAAATCTGCATAAAAATCTATTATAATCGATTGCAATCTTATTTTTGCCAATGCGGGTCATTTTTTGTCACGTGTCATGCATCTCGTATAAAAGTCACGATGCCGCTTATTCATCTAAATTCTGCTGATTTGCTACTCCTTCAAATAAAAAGTTTTAAATTTTTTTTTTAGGATGTCTGATTGTAATGCATTTAGAGGTGTGAAGAAATCCCCCCCCCCCCCTTTAGGCACAACGAAAAATTTTGATCAGCTACAGCTTAAATTATAAAACTTTGGGATGACAAGTTATAAGGAAAAAAATCCCTTCAGTCTTTACTTCTTTTATATGCAATAACTAGTACTCGTCTATTGCGTTGTTTTGTATTAATTCATTTTAGGTGCCAATTTTCATTAAAAAGTTGGCGTTTTTACAGGTGAAGAATGCCAACAGTTCGAGCTTTCACTTGCAAGCTGAACACCTCCATCCATTTGTCGAACATTATGGACCAATTGAATCTGGCTCTTTTCTGTTCATCAACACTGGCTGGGGAGATTTTTACTGGACTGATGGAGAAAAGTATGCAAAGGAGCCAGCCTGTCTAGGAGAGAGTGCGGTGGATTGGGTGCTGGAACATGCACCGGATATTCTGGGACTCGGAATTGACGCTCTGGCTCCAGAGTGTGGAGATAACAAATCGTAAGGGTGCTTTTGTCAAATTTCTTTTAGACGTTTATATAACCCGGATCGATGTGCTCGACTTATGTTTTGACAAAATCAGACAAAATTCGGTGTTTTAAATTGAAATTTTTGGCCAAAATGTTTGGTAAAATCTCAAAAGTATCGATACCTTGAGCTCAAATCAAAAATATTTCACTTGTTATGAACTTTTAGATAATTTTGTGAGTTGAAAAATCGCCAACGTATTAGGAGCAAACACTGTAGATTCTTATAATTATTGTAGAGTTGGTCAACATTTTGGAGTAAACTTGGATACATTTTTCTTAGATCTGGAAAGTCAAGACAATCAAAACACACACCATTTAAACGCATATCAATTTGGGTCATGCCACGGCATGCCACACATTTAAATGCCATGCTGACCTAGTTTCGCTCGAAAAACCTGAACATATCCATGCTGGGTTGGGTTAATGTATTTAAAAGGAATTTGGACGATGAAGTCAAAACATACCGAAAATTGGCATAGAAAGACGGAAAATGATATCTTTCGTCGGTCTTAGGAGTCAAACATAAATTGAGCAGCTCGACCCGAGTACTGCCGCATAAAATGTTTTACATTAGTTTTTTTTGTTTTTTTCTTTGTAGTCAATAAGGTGCTTCAAATTTACAAGAGTCATGTTCAACGTTTAATAGATGTGCAACATTTGTGCAACATTCATGTGTAACATTTGCCTTAAAAGTTTTTCAACCACAATTCAAGCGCATTACAGGTTGTGTTTGAATCTTTGATACCAGAGGCCTCGATGAAATTGCTAAGCCGAAAAAGAGTATATATTTTTTCGGATACAAATATGGAAATCAGATCACTAAGGAGCAATCATACAAGGTTGAAGTCAATTAACACTTGAAAACCTGTTTAGTTTCCGCCTGCACACTACAATGCTGCCACGGGGTCAACTGATTGTGGAGAATGTCAAGTCCAGTGGGATGGATCAACTGCCCCCCAAGGGCTCATATCTCATGATGTTCCCCATGCACTTGAAGGGGGGCACCGGAAGTCCAGTTCGGATGGTAGCTGTTAGAGATTCCTCAGCTGCCCCTAGACTGTCTCTTCTTGCCTTATTGTCTCTGTTCTTTAATACATTTGCGTCTTATCTTAAGTAAAAACGACTCACAGTCTTGAAATCAAACTTACTTCCTTGAGTTATCAGAATTGATACAGATCAGAGGACGAAAACTTGAGATTTTTTGACACTCCTCTATTTCGCATTACGGATATCATAAAGTGAAAAAGCCAAAATCAACAAATTGTATGGTAACATTAGGATTTTGTCTTTATCTTTGTGGTAAATGAGAAAAAGGTGAAACTCCAAAAGTCGAGTTTGTCATTTCGTCTTAATGATCAGGGGCGGTTTTAGGGGAGGGTTTAGAACGCGCTTCTCTCTGGGGTTCGACGCCCTCACCAACCAAAAGGTCTCCCTTTTGATATTATTTTGTGACATCCATTTTGTGATAACCCTAAACTTTCTCTAAAAGCGCCTGCTGCGGCGCCAATATATACTAATTTTGAAGGGGAACGCGCGCCAAAAAAACCTATTTTTTCAGTCAAATTTTTCCAAAAAATGCCCAAAAACGGTGTTTTTGACCTGATTTTCGCCGCAAAGTTTTGCCTGCTTTGAAGTTAAAAATAGGGTCTTTATAGTGTTCCGCGAGCGTTTGGAAAATCAATTTGGTCGACCTGAAAAGAAAAAGTGCTCCAAAGATCCGCCCCTGTTAATGATGTAGCAAAATAGATTTATTTGATTGTCATATATTTGAAAATCTCAAGTTTTGCTTGGACTTGTTTATGATATATTTTTGATAATCACATTGCATGAACAATTTTGATTATTCAGATGAAGTTCAGAAACATTGATGCTCCTCTTTTCATTCAGTCAAAACACAGGGCCAACTGAAAATATTTCCTGAAAAAAAATCAGTTTTCAAGAAAAAAAATCAATGTTTTTTGCAGAGAAGTGTCAGCAACGTGATCCGAAAATCTTTTGTGCGGCTCCTAACCATTTTAGTAGCACATTTAGAAGAGAGGTCATTCTCTTCCTCAAAAATTCCGCCACCTTTATCCCCTACAATAGATACCCTTTAGTTTCATTTCCTTGTATCAGTTGTTGGTAAGGCTCTAATGCTTACAAATTCATCTGCGCTAATGATTTTGAGGGTGTGAATTGCACGCCAGGCAATTTTGGTCCAGATTCCAAAAATTCTCAAACTTTTGAACGTTAACTTAATTAGTTGTCAAGAAGTTTTCGTTCAAATATTGTTTTTTCGATTAGAAGACAGACCAAAAATCAAATTCATTGACATTAAAAAAAATTTGACGGGCTTATTTACTTTTGAACTTTTTGTCAATAATTGACAAGCTTGAATAATTGCAGATAGTTTCAGTCAATCAGTGAGTGCGTACATACAATGTAGATACAAAAATCAACTTCCCAAAGTGCGGTTTTAGAACAGCTCTTAAAACATATTGATATTGTAAAGCTTAATTCGGCCTTCACAAAATTTTCTGCCTGAGAGATTATATAAAACAGTTTCCTCTTATAATAACAAAATAACTTCAGGTTGTTTACGACGCCTCGAGGTAGAACACGAGTTGTTGCCTAGCGACAACCGTCATACAATCCAAAGTAAGTTGGACTATAAAGTGCAGGCAGTTTAACAAAACAGTTCAATTCGATAAGTATACTGAAGAAACTAATTCTGAACACTGACGAAATGGAACCTGAAAGGCGATTCAAAAACTTTCAAGGTAACTTACATTATTCAAAATTAAGCAAGGTTTAAAATTACTCATCAAATTTTAATTACATATTTCAAATGGTATACTTTTAGAAGTATTTTGAGAAGGAAGTCAGAACGTTGTATTTTTCAAAGGGCAAAAAAGCTCAAATTACAAAAAATTGTAGTTGATACTCTTTACCAATAAGAATGTCCTAATATCTTTACAAAAAAGCAGGTTTTGAAAAACGCTAATGTGTTTTTGGCTTTTGTAAGACAAAGTAACTTAAATTCTATATCTCCCCATAATCACAAAAAGCTTATCCTCAATTTAACTTAAAAATTATACAATTTTCGCCTCCGCCTCCCGAAAATTTAAACGCACCTTGGACGCCTTCTCGCGTACAACTGAACAAGTAGGAGAAATTTTTTTTTTTGTCAAAGTTGTTTACTTGTTTATCGCTGAATTTCCACCAATATAAAATTTCAGTTTCAGTGGTGTCTCAAAACAGATACGTCAATCGATTTTAAGGGAGGGCCTTCATTCGAAGTGAAAATAAAAACCACCGATATCCTTCAATGAGTTGTTGATACATTTTTACAAGTCTTAACGTTTGCTAAATTAATAATGAAGTAGTGTCAAAGATAATTCCTTGATTTACAATAATTTGCCGTCACGTCGAGCTTCAGCGATTGTATCAAGTTCAGTACTTTGCAAAACTTAATCATGAACGGCTGTTTAAAGGTGCGATACATCGAAAACAGAAAAAAAAACTTTTCTTTCTCAAAAGATGCACATCCATTATTCTTATTGCTAAAAAAAAAGAATCACTGGAAGTGACTTATAAGCTAATTTGCAGCCAATTTTTGCATTCAACTTTTTACTTTTGCTTTTTTTGAAGTGTAAGTTAATTTCAAAAAAGACCCCGTCCTACACCCTGGTCCATTGTTTAAAATTATACAAAAGTTTGATTTATTTTGTCTATGCCAAAATAGAAAACCGTAATAATCAATTCCGCACTAAAAAATTACAAGAAACTTTTAATACTGTAAAATTAAGAGTGCAGTGTGAGCCAATAAATAGCCATTTATGCAGCAGTCAAAAAATTTCGAGAAAAGCTATGAAACGTCAAATCTGTCCTCTTGTTTCAAAGTTATCCCTGGCTAAATTATCACAAGTAAACAATTCACCCAGAAAATCACAAAAAACTTATGAAATTTAAAACAAAACCCATTGAGTGCCAAAGAAACCGGTTATGCGGTCAAACTCGGTCTTGGCAAAACGGTCTTTTATCAACCCGGCGCCTTTTTATCACGCTTAAAGACTTGTTTCTGGATGACAGTGACTTACACATACCCATTTGAGCACCTATCTAGTGCACAATTTAACCTCGTAAGGATTAGAATTACTCAAATTGGGTTTGAATTCATTTTTGGAAAAAATATAGAAAAGATGTAAGGAACGAGGCTCCTAAGCTTATCAAGAAAAAATAGGAGAACGAAGAAAATTACGCGATTTTTGTACGCTGATCAGAAAAAAAACCTTTTTAAAATTTAATTCAACTCATAAGTGAAATTACGGAGTAAAAAGTGTAACTCGCTTCAGTGAACTCAGTGAAGCATTGTTTTGATTGAATAGTTTTCCTTAGTTATCAATTTTAGATCTCATCAAAACAGTTTCAGGGATTTTTTTTTTGCTTTTTTAAAATTGTAGGCTGAGTTGGACCACCAAATTCATCAGATAGGTTGAGTGATGTTTCAATTTGAGCCCCTTTCGGTCAGAATCTGATCAGTTAATATTGAGATTAAATTGTTCAAAAATTTGCTTTTCAGACCAATTTAGAGAACGAAGCCAAGATCTTCTAGCTTAGCTGTGAAAAAGAAATCTGTAAAGCTTGGATAAGCGTTTTTTCGTCATCGATCATTCTGAAACACGAATTTCAAAAAGAACGTTTTAGTTTTTGTTTTTAGCTTAGCAAAAACTACTGCAGACAACTAAAACTATAATTAACGTTCTCAGAAAATTAGTTTTTTTGACATCATCCACAAAAAAATACCCAAATTGGAGGAGACACAAAAAACTCTTTTTTTTTGGTAAATTATGACTGTTCGTTACACTCTATGCTAACTTGCATTGCAAACTGCGTTTCTTGTGCCTCTGCCACCTGGTTTTCGTCAACAGCAATGGTTCGGCAATTTGCCATATCAATGAGCGTCGTCCTCTCGTAAAACATCAGAAAAAGCGAATTACAGATTGAAAAAGTTTTTAGAAGATGAAATTTAAAAAAATTAGGAGCTCTGATTTTGGTGATGATGCCGCTGTTTGAGTTGAGTACATCCTTAAACAAAATGTGCCTTTTGACAGATTCTTTTTCCAGTGAGGTGTCTGTGCTAATCAACCCGACTCAGTAATGACCTGGAGTAAACCAAGGTATCCAAGTATTGGCCATCTGGGCAAATTTTTGATCATTGTTGCTCATTTGTTTGATCATTTTTGTTTGACATCGATTTTTTTTATTTTATAGAAAAGGTAATCATACTTTAAATAAAAAACCGAAATTTAACCAAAAACTTTTGAGTTACTTCGAGATGCTTAGGGTAGTTGGAGCATTCGGGGCACGCCTTCTTGTTTTTTTTTTGCTGCCACTTGTAATTTCAAGGTGACGAGTTGTCTTTTCCGATAAGTTGTCACTCTGCATCAAAAAACCTACTGTATCACCCTTCTTTATTGCCTAAATGCATGTTGACGCATTTAAAATAACATATTTGCAATGAAAACAGTTTTTAGAAAAAAGTTGCGATCATTGTGTCACTAATACAATATAAGAGTGCTGCCCTTAAACATAATCGCGACAAGAGTGCTGCCCTAAACATAATCGCGACAAGGCAACAGCAGACGTGCACAAATGTCAGGTATATCTTCTAAGCAGTTGTCATTTAAAAAGAATCAAACACCCATTTCATTTTTGTTGACAGTCACAACTCAAATATTTCAATTTAGTTTTAGCCTTCATCTTCGTAATCGCAACTATCGAAGCCTTCAACCCGCAAATTGAGAAATGGGTCGACCTCAGCTACCCTCTCTTCCCAGAGACTCCTGTTAACACTCAGGTGTACACCCCTCTTGTCGTGGACGCAGTCAAATCTAAAAGTGGAACCAGCTGGCCCGGAACAGATCTGGACGGAGTATTTGCCGCGTTCCGGTACGTGGAGTTGTA